ATGATGTTCTGCAGAAACTTTTGCTCTTTGTCCCAGAACCCTGCTTTCAAATGAATGCTGTCCTTTAAGCTAAACTGAATAGGAAAACAGATTAAATTAAAACTTGCAGGCCTTATTTTAAAGTCTTTTACTAGTCAAACCAATGCTGCTAGTTCAGACAAGATCCAGATAAGAAAAGAGTTTTATAGCAAGAGTTTAACATTATTAATTTCAATGCATTGAATTCTTATCTGCCTCCCCAAATTTTTTCAACAATGTTCAACTCTTCTCCAAAGGTGGTTCGTCTTTGCCTTTTTATGCAAATTTCCCAGGTGATTCTCTTTAAGTCAAGGGGAGTTCGATTGGACTGTAAAGTAGGAAGCTTTTAAAAAGTCTATTCTGAAGGAGTTCATTTGAATTAGACTGGAAGTGGTAAAAGTAATAGCCACTTTTTATAACTTTAAGATTATGTACAGTTGCAGCTTTGTTTGACAAATCATATAATGAAAACAATTCAGTACAAGGACCAACCATTATGGAAAGGCTAACAAATTGCTCATTCCAAATACTAATACTGGATTTCCTAATATCCAAAGATTGTCATGATGGGTTATTTTATGCATCAGAGACATATTGACCATAAGGAAAAATCTTTCCTTTTTTCCCTATAGCTGCCCTCTCAACTAGAGGGTTCACTCCCTCCTAGACAGAACAGCCAAAAAAGAGCCTGTGGCAAACATCTGCCAGACCATCTTTCTGGATGTCTTTCATTATATTTCAAAAGACTGTACAAGTGCCATAGCATGCTACTGTGCTTGGTTATCCCTAAGACTGTCCTTTCTGCCTCTTGTCACAGACATTTCTAGATTTTCCCCTCATCTGGGATATGCCATCCTCTGATTTGTAGTAACACAGAGAATTAGAGGAACCCAGAAGCAAGATTATCTCTGAGTTAGCTGTTTCTCCTTTCTGGAACAAAGCTTCTATATTACAATATACTATATACTTTCCTCCATATTGGGGCGACCCTTCTTTTTCAGTACTTATTTTTATCCTTGTGAAAAGTTAGCTTTTCCACAACACACTAGGTTTATTTCTGTTACTTGCTGGTGGGCCTTAGAGGCATTCCAAATCTTTGCAAGTCTCTCTAGAAACTATTTCAACTTATTTTTCACAAAAGAAAATAGGAAAAAAGTAAAAACAAGAATTGATCCTATCTACTGAATTTGAAAAAATTTTCCCTGAGGAAAGTTCGCAGTCATCGTCCAGACAAAAGTATAGGGCATTTCTACTATTGTATTTAGTTTTTAACTTGTTCCATATTTGGCAGTGTTTCACTTTGTACTTCTTTTCTTTGCATGTTTTTTACTGTTCTCACTTTTGCCTTTGAAATGTTATGTTACTTGACTACTATTTCAGTTTCCCAAGAATCTCTTCATAGGATGTAGTGTTGTTTAGTGGGTAAATAAGAGGATTGTGAGCCCGAACTCCTAGGTTTTACTCCTGGCTATCCCACTGGCTTGCTGTGTGGTCTCAGGGAAGTCACATAATCCTTCTCTGTTAACCCTTCTTTTAAACGCTTATTAAAGTACTTTTTTACTGTGCCTCATTGGCATATCTTAGGGCTGGTCCACACTAAGCCCCCAGTTCGAACTAAGATACGCAACTTCAGCTACTTGAATAATGTAGCTGAAGTCGAAGTATCTTAGTTCGAACTTAAAGGTACTTTACCGCGGGTCCACACGCGGCAGGCAGGCTCCCCCGTCGACTTCGCCTACTCCTCTCGCAGAGCAGGATTACCAGCGTCGACGGCGAGCACTTCCGGGATCGATTTATCGCGTCTAGACAAGACGCGATAAATCGATCCCAGAAGATCGATTGCTTGCCGCCGACCAGCGGGTAAGTATAGACATACCCCTAGTTGATATTACAGTTCGCCTGAAGTCTGTTGATGATGTATATTTCATGGCAAAGGCAAATTGATAAGAGGGTTTTGAAAAAAAGTAAATCTATGCTACCACAATGACCAGCTGAGATGGAAATTGGATAGTTCTTGTAATGGGGACATGGACTTTGGTGTTTCCTCCAGATGTTACTCCTGATCAAGCTCTCTTTTATGGAAATGTTACTGTCACCTACCCTGATATGATAATGAACTCTAACAGCTTGGTCTTGATAAGCAGAGCAGGTGAGAAATATGGTGAGACTTCTCTGGACAGTAGGGAGAGGCTGTCAGGTTGTCCAGGGAATTATCACAGAGGGACTAGATTTGTAGGCATGTAAGGGGTTCTTTTCTTCTGCTTGTAAGTTAAGGGGAATATACCTCATTGGGATTTACAAAGTTTTCAGATGAGGTTTGCTAGGCAGACCATTTCTTTTGTTTCAATATCATTTTCTCTCTACTTTTAATAAATCTTTTTTAAGAAGACCACAGTTGTATAGGATAACTCACATACTTGGCCCCAAAGAAACATGAACCCATCAGTCTCCCTAAGGAGAGTAGCTGAAGGGAATTTCAGCAACCTAACTTTTTATTCAGAGTCTTGGTAGACGGGGTCCAGGCAGAGGTGTTCTCTCCCATTAAGATGTCTTGCAAAAGACTGGAGGCAATTGAGTGTACAAGGGGAGAAGCCTAACGACCAAGGAGAAGATGTGAGTGAGTGGGGGGTGGGGGTGAATAACAGAGGCACTTCCAGATCCATGTATGACAGACCCCTATACTATATAAATGAAAAGTGTTTATACTGCTGAAGAGCCTACCCTTCTATTCTATTCTAAATCAGTTTTTATACTGCTCTCCTCACAGTAATGTCTAAGCACCTTCCAATAGTGCACATCTGTCATATGTTGTTTGTTCTCTCATCCTTTCCTCAGAGGAAGAAGCGTGTGCAGTGAACTGTCTTTTGGTAGGGTTTTTGTGTTGAAGACCCAAACGTACCTATTGCTATGTGCTTACATTGCAGAAGGAAAGGTCAGAGAAATGCGCCTTACACTTGGCGCAGAAATAAGTGAGGTCTGTGATGGTCTATAGTTCCTGGGGGATTTCATTCCACAGTCTCAGGCTGCCTTTGGAGAAAGTTTTGTCTCAGAGAGTTGAGCTTTATTCTTCCCTTGAGATAAGGTTTGATTTTGAAATTTAGCTTGCTTTTTTTTTATAATGCTTCCAATGAAATTTAAAGCTTTACTGTAATTCTCTTATAGTTAGAAATATTAGTTTTATCAGTGTTTGAATCTTCATCATTGAAATAAATTTGGGGTTTTTTTTCTATTTACTCATTTTCTCCAGTACCTTAAAAAAAAAAAAAAAAAAAAAAAAAAAAAAGGGGAAAAGGAGAAAAAAAATTAAAAAACAAGTCCCCGAGAGAGAGAGAAAGAGAGAGAGAGAGAAGATATTTAATACCTTTTCAATTACAAAATAGAAGACAGGCTGGCGTGTTCAAATGGAAATACTTTAGTTTAAATGTCTATACTTTATAGAAGCATTTAGAATTTACTATCCATTTTCAGCATTTTTATTTGCTCTAATAAAATAAAAAGTATCCTAATCATAACTGCTGTACAGTGTGTTTAAATCTGATTTAAAGATGATAATTTGATTGGCTATATAATATGTGGTTGTTGCATTATACTCAGCTGAAAGAACTCTGACTGAGACTATTGTACTTGTGTTCATTATGCTAGCTTTGTGACTTCAAGAAGAAAAAACAGGTATCTGAATGTGAGCAAGAAAAACAAAAGGATAGAAAAAGAACAGGCAGAACAGATAAAGAATGAGTAGGATAAGTGAGTGCTTTACAAATGAAAGCAGATGTATGAAATTACAAGCTGTCGGATCAGCAACGGAAATGAAGATGATAAAGTGGTTCCCTACGCAGATTATAATTATTCATTTTGCCCAGTCCTGCATCTTTTCCCCATAATTCTCTTGGGGGGAGGGAGAGGTATAGGAGGAGATGAGGTTTACTCACATGAAAGAAAAAAAAATCAGATGGTAAGTCTGCATGGTCACAAAACAATAATTTATTTTGGCTTTTTTATTGTATCAGAATAACTTTGTTCTGCAAGGATATTTTCTCACTTAGGATTCTGATTGGTAAAGTTCTCAAAACAGTAAAGTTTCTTTACAATTTATTTACAATTAATGTTGTTGGAGGCAGTCTGTATGGTGCACAGTATAAGCATCATTAATAGGCACTGCTTTGACAGCTGTAGCAGATGGATTGCCTGAATTTAGATAGAGCAAAAGAAATGAAGTAGTTTACATAGACCTGCCTGAAAAGATGTGTTTAATAATTGCACTCATAATTAGGTTGATTTGCCAAAAAAGAGAGAGAGCAAGCAAACAACTACAGGGTGTACTTAGGTTAGAATGGAAATGTACACATCTGTTTACAATGGGAGATGAACTTCAGGCAGAGAAAAGTCTCCTGTTCAAGTCACAACATTTTAAGAGGTATTTAAAAGTATTTAAAAGTAAAAGCAAGAATTCAGAATCCTTAGCTGTTGCTCAGTATTTTCAGTCATTTCTCTGGGATTCTCCAACAGGTAAATGTAGGAACATGAACAGCAGAGACCCAAATATTTCACAGACTAATGTTAAATGAGGTCTTATCAAAAATAGATTTTTAATTAATCTAAAGAGAACAAAAAGTGATAGATGTCTGTTTAATAATATCTATTTGAAGAACATACAGGGTATTTTAGTAAAGAATAGTTGTGGGGGAAAGAGAACGTAATTGCATAGTGAATCTCAGAGTGCCCCATTGAAGTCAATGGGAACTTTAACATTGACGTCCATGGGCACAGGATCAAGCCCACACAACACATAAGGCTTGATTCTGTAACCTCTTCCTTGTGTTAAGCAAAACTTGAGTTCAGAGGGTCTGTTTGTACTCATCATGAGGAAGTGCTGCTAAATCTGCCCATGATGGGTGTGTAGAAAAAAATGTTTCCTGTAGAAGACCAAAATATGTGTGTGTATATTCCCCTTTTTTTTATTTTTATTCATTTTTATTTTTTAGTGATCTCAAGTAATTATCAGACCTGTTTGGGACTTCTGATGCATTATCCACCTATAGGAGATGTACACTCACTCATCCTAAGAGCACTGTTTCTCAGAGATCCAAAGGTAAGATACCCATTGCTAAATATTACCAGTACAGGAAATAAACCTCTTTAATAAAACATTCCAAGTGCTACAAAATGTTAATGAGACACAGTATCCTACATTTGGGGTGGGGGGGGACGACTTTTTCAAAGAGCCACTTCTGGAAACTGCCACATTCTTCCTCATTGACTACTCATGAGGAGAATTGTCTGGTGAAATTAGATTATGGTTCCCCCAGGTCTTAAGTGGTCATCTTCTGCCATTGTGCTAAGCAAACAGCTCCAGTAAGTCAAATAACTACCCAGTAAAGGTTTTCCCCACCCGTCAGTAGTTCATACTTGTCAGTAGTTCATATTCTTCACAGTGGACCACATGCCAAAGTATACTTACAGGGCTATGGTAATATATATTTATATTTATATTTAAGGTGTAGGGTAACGTAAACTGTCTAAAAGTCATAGCACAATTTCCTAGTAGACTTTTATACATGTGATTTATTAATTCTGCAAGCTAACCATAGCTGCGCCTAGGGGGTCAGTAGCATCCAAATGTTGTAGGATGTCATTTTTTTAATTAAAAATGAGATTCGCTCTTAGTCTTCAAAGTTTCACACAGATTTTATTTACACTTGTTAAAGTGTATTTTACTACTGTAATGTTTCTGACATCAGTAAAATTACTGATCTACAGTTTTTTTTAAAAAGAACACGGCAGCTTTAGAGCTAACCTTATATTTAAAATAAAGTATTTGAGTTAATGCTGTGGATGACAGTCTTCTTGGTAGCTGGATCCTTAGCAGTTCTCAGAAGTTGTGCTGCCAGCTTTAGGATTGTCTGAGCATGTCACATCACTAGGCTGCCAATGGGCAGTCTAAGATAGCTTCCTTCAAGTTACCTCTGAATAGAAGAATTTCTGCACTTTTATCAGTTGGTGACTGTCTTCTGCAAAATGTCATTAGATTCTGACATGTATTCTTTTATAGATTAAGAAAAATTGTCTCCTTGTTTCTGTGTCGGTTTTCTGCAGAAATCTGTGTCCTCACAGCTGCTTGCCTCATTCCTCTTGCGCATAGATTTCTTTCAAGATGAGAAGTAAAATCCGTCATCTCCCTGATGCTTAGGAAAGTTTGTAATATTAAGTTTGTTTTTTCAAGATTTAGGCAGCAGACTGTGAAATCAAACTATTCAGCATTTACATTCTTGCCTTCTCTTTTCAAAACAAAGCAGAAATATTTTTAAACGGAAGATGTTGAGGGGAAGGGGAAGAAATTGTGCTAAGCCATCAAACTGAATCTGGCACATGTTGTTTAATTCAGCAAAAAGAATATGTTGGTACATGAGACTAATTTAATAATGATTAAAAATTCTCAAGCTGCCCTCTGTGCCAGCTCAGGCAATGTGTGTATAGATCTTCCTACTAGCAGATGGGGCCAACCTCCCACCCCCTGACTCCCTGACTTCTTGCTCAATTGTTTTCCTGTCTCCAGCAGATGGAAGCTGACAAGCTAAAGACAAGGCCCACCCAATCTGAGCCTCATGAGACTTCAGTTTCATGCTAAACATCCTCATGCATGCTTTTGAGGTGGTGGTGTGTAGGGTGCACGTAGCTATGCGTTGGAGTGAAAAGCAGGCTGTGTCCATCCTGCAGTGTTTAGCTCCATGTCATAGTGAAAGGATCTGGCAAGGGGAAGCAGCAGGGAAAGGCTCCAACAGCGGGGAGATGCCAGAGCCTTTCCCCTCTGCTGGAATCTTTCCTAGCTGTGTAGGAAGGCTCCGGCAGTGGGGAAGCAACGTGACCCTACACTGCTAAAAATAGTAGTGTAGACGTGGGAGGCACTACTTGAGTATGTAGAGAGCTATGTAAGGTGTAGACCTTAAGATTCTGGCATTGTCTTTACTCACCGTCAAAACTGTGCCTAACCGTGCCTCACTGTCTACACTGCTCTTTATACCCATGCTAGGGGGGCATGCAGTGTATGTACTCTTCATAGACAAGTGTAGACATAGCCTAAGAGAGGTCTGGACATATTTCTTACCTTACCTTTCAAATAGTCCTCTGTTCAGTGAGAAGAGCCTGCATAAAAATGAGCCTTTCATCCCTAATTGTATTGCCATGCGGATAAGGATAATTAAGACCATTCCCCAATTTCTACGTAAGATGATTTCCCCCGCTACTTGTCACGAAGTGATCCTCCTTTTTTTGTCTGTCCTCACAAACACAAATGAAAAGTGCCTTCACATCCACTGTATGGCTGTGCTTGTCTACCTGAACAGAACTCTGGAAGTTAGAAAGAAGATCTTCCCAGAAATGATGATGATGATTGATTATTATTATTATTATTTTGATATATGCAATCCGGTGAAGCCAAGCCACAGCGTTCTTATCAACAATGTTCAAGGCCCTAAGACCTCCAGAAAGTTGAGTCATTTTGCAGTCCTCAACAATGTATGAGAATGAAGAGCCCTAAGAAAGGCTTAATAGCCTCTCACATGACATTGGCTTGCTGGTTTCAAGACTGCATTAAAAAAAGCTATGCTTCCTGGGATAAAGAGGCCAAGCTTGTTCTCAAGGACCTTTCCTTAAGAACAGTTACCTCTTGAGCTGAGAGAGGGGATATATACTCCCTTTACCTGTTCTTTATTTTCCCTAGACAAACTTTAAGGCTCATCTCTGTGTCCTTAAGCACATGTGAGTTAAACCCAGTTTCTAAATGAGTTGGGATTCGTTCGTAGTGGTTTGAATTCTGTGTTGTGGAAGACTTACATATTAAATATTGTATAAGTCCATCATAATTGCCATGGAATGAAAGAAAAGAACGAAAAGAAAGGAGTTCTGTGGTTGTTACACAAGGATGTTTGCATCTATATCTGCGGCCTTTTGGGTCACCGAAACTCCAGAAGTCTGTATGGGGCTGTGCGCTAGTACACGTGGGAAAATTAAAATGTCCTCTCTGCTGCAAGTGTAACAATAGTTTAATTCTTCCTTTCTCCCTGAGGGGAGAGGCAAAGAGAGGCTAGAAGGCTCTGCACAGTAGTGTAACCTGGAAGTTATGACTAGCAAATTCTGTACTTGCTGACTTCTCTACCCCTTAAGGCTTTCCTGTGCACTTCCCATTAGGAACAGTAGATGCAGAAGGCATATTAGGTTCAATGCAATTTGCCTCCCCTGAGCTAGGGCAGGTTCCCTATAAGGTTTCTTCCGAGGCTTTCTATGGTTTTTATTGTGCCATCCCATGGAGCTTCCACTGCACTCTATGGGCAATTGTTCATGTTCCAGTATGATTTGTTTCACATAGCAAGTGTGCTCAGTGTCTTGTAAACATGTAAGGGAGACCTGGTCTCTATCCGTCGGAGCTTGAAATCTCAACTGGACAGACAGTGAAGTTCAGAAGTGTAATGGGAGGAGCAGGGTTTCAGCTTGAAAGCAGGGTAGGTACTTTACTAATATGTATTTCTTTGGGAGGTTATCCTTGAAAGATAGCTAAATACCAAATAATCTCACTCTTGGGGAGTTTTTCTTGCAATCTAGACAAAACTGTAGAAAATGTTATGTGGGGAACAGTCTTACCATAGCCTCTGGGGAATGGAGTAGATGGACCTAACTAATGTGGCTTTTCCAGCTCTGGATCTATGATTCTGTAGTCAATCTGAATTTGCCTTTTCTTCATTGCATCCCATTCCTCCTCTTTATACCCCCTGGTATCAATGTCACATCCTTCCCCTGTTTTCTTGTTGAGGATTGATGGTAAGGTTTTGGCCTGATGGCCCTCTCACTTTTTGTTGACTGAAATTTATAACTGTCCTTAGTGGAAGAGCCTGGAAGCGTCCTGGAAACAGAGCATACAGCTCTGTAATAGCCAACAACAAGTTAATGCAACTGCTTCTGAGGGGAAGCACAGAAGACTTCATATTTACAGAGCCACACTTGGGCCTACATAGTGCCCAAAGTGCATTTGATTATCCCCAGTTGTTAAGAAAATCTGGAATTCAAACTTGAAATTTGAAATCTGTGTTATTGCCCCCACTCAGGGCTACGCTGTGAACTCACTTAGCAAGACACTTATTCCGAATTTCCAATTCTTCAGTAAGCAGTAATTCTTCCCAGTTATATCTACCAATGGGATTTCTATCTATTTAGGGTTTTTCAAAATAGAAAGTTATGTGAAAACTGACTTTATATGTAAAAGTGTGTGTGTGTGGTGAGAAACTGGAGCAATAGTAGGAATTGTTCTTGTAATATACCCAAAGGAATTGATTGTAGGTGTGTCTCTGAATAGAATACCCCAAAAGTACCTAAGTTTTTCCATTTTTTTTTCTCCACATCACCACTGTTGGGTAGTGCTGTGAATTTTCAAAGCAAATACTGTTAGATGAAGAAGTAGAGATGTTGAGGGAGGGCAGGCAGAAGAATATAAAGTGATTAAAAACATAGTTCTAACTAGAGTTGTTCAAATAAAAAAAAATTAAAAAACCCAATTAGAAATAAAAGTCATCGAAAATGTGAACATATTGTGTTCCTTAAATAACCAGATGTTCTCTCCCTCCTGAAGGCAGTCAGGGCTCGGAATAAAAGGTTTAAAACTATTGTTTTAAGTTAACTGTGAATTTTGCAAATCTGTTTTTACCCTTTAGCAAATAAAATTCTAATACAGCAACATAAGCAAAGTAATTTTCATCTTTGGGTATTCTTATTTGTATGGTGGTGTGTGTTGAAGTGTTAACCTTATCACAGTGACTTATTACAAAACTAAAGCACTACATAGAACATTACCATTTTCGATTACATACTAAGAACCTGACAACCGTCCTTTGTTCGAGAGCTTACAGTATTTATCCAAAATATTTCTGCAAAATAAAAGTTTGTCTGCAAACCTTTTAGCAGGAATGGTTGTATTACTTGCGAGCAAGCTAGTTAGAAATAAGACAGTTTTATTCAACTCTGAAGTGTTACTACTCAATAACAGTCTATTAAAATATAATTTAAAATGTTATATTTGGCTGTTTAAAATTAACTCTTTTTCCA